GTTAAGCACCAAGAGCAGAAAACCCCCAGTTAGTTTTGCCTGATGTGGCAGCTCCAAGATGGACCCAGCAAAGCCTGCACGGCTGGACTGAGCCCGGGCTGAGCTCAGCACCACTTTCCTCATCCTGGCAGTTTAATCCACCCTTGACATCAGCCTTGGAGCTGAGTTGTGTTCCAAGGGCACCAGCTGAGGGCACAAGGAGGCTGCTGTTTCCCTGGGGGTCTCCAAAGGGGCCCGGAGCTGCCCTGTGTCTCCAGCAGGACAGCCAGCCCCATTCATCCCCCGTCACGTGCAGGAACGTGACTGTCCCAGAGAGGGGCTGCAGGACCCTCCCCAGGGGGTCGGGAGCAGAGGGGGACTCGTGTGCTCTGGGAACAGAGCCAAGGAAAAGCTGCAGCCCCCCAGAGACACCGGAGGGGGGAAGGAAGCCTGGGCTGATGTGCCCCGGGGGGGCAGAGCTGGGAGAGTTGGTGCTGGTTGGGTCCCAACCTGCCTGGGGGTGTCAGTGTGCAGGGGGGCAGAGGCACTTGGGGGATGGTGGAGGTCACCCCCTGATGCCCTTCAAAGACACCAGCCTGTAAGGAGCTTGTTGGCACCCACCCTGACCCAGAGCAGAGGCCTCAGGGCCACAGGCACCCCCCAGGTACAGAAACCTTCCCTGGGGTCCTGGGTGGGCTGTGGGACACGTGCTTGTGAGCTGGAGACATCTGTGAGCCTTGCTGAGCAGAACAGGGGGTACCAGCTGAAGCAAGGTGGGCTGCCCCCCCAGCCCAGCCCACGAGCTGCCCTTACCCCCCTTTCCATCCTCCCTGTGATCTGCCATGTGCCAGGAGGAGATGGGCAAGGGAGGCTGAAGCTGGAACTCGGGAAGCCAAATGGCCAAATGCCACTCCATGGCAAGGTCAGCAAGGTGAGAGCAGGACCCCCAGGCAGACCCCAGCCCTCACCCCCCAGAAAGCATCGAGGGACAGTAACAAACAAAACAGTCACCTTGAAAACACAAACAAAACAGACCCCCCAGCTGCCCAGCCCCTCTGTAGCTCCTGGCACCTGAGCTGGTTGGGCCAAAGTGCTGCTGGGGCCGTGTCTGTCCATGTGCCCTCACACCTCTGTCTGCAGAGCAGGCATGTGCCAAGGCTTGAGGAGACACAGAGGGATGGGGAGGTGACAGATCCCTAATAAATTCTCCAATTTGAGATGCCTAATGGGATGAAGGGACAAGAGTCTCAATGGAGGTTTTGTTCTCTGCTCTTCTGAGTGAGGAGTCATCTCCCATAAACAAGGGTCTGTAGTAAATAAAGACATGATTTTCTGTGGATTATCCACAGCTTTGGTTCATCAGATCTTCAAGGAATCGTGGAAATGATTCAGTGCAGAAACACAGATAATTTGCTTTCACACAGAGAAGGAAGAAAGTCCCCAACCAACCAACACAGATGATCTCTACCCTATTTATAAGTCTTGAGCACTGGGACAAGGGAGGCTGGTCAGCCCTCAGCCAAGGCAGGTGCAGCTCCTCTTCTACCAACTGCCTGGAAAATGCCCACAATAATGCCAGAATTTTTCCCTGCCCAGAGTCATCTCAATTGTCATGGTCTGATCTCCATTACCTCTTGAAATCAAAAGCCCTTTAGGAATGCCTGGATCTGCTCCTCATTGCTTTAGTTCCAATTGTGCTTCAGCACTGTTGTTTTATTTTCTCAGGTGCTGAAGGAGACTTGATCAACCCCTTCTGTCTGCTCACTCTAGCTAGTTTCTAGTCTGAGATCCATATCAAGACCAGGACAAAGTTCCTCAGAGACCCTTTTGTTTTGGGGCTAAAGGGCCAAGGGACTCCCTGCCCCAAAGTGAAGCTGCCCTGGCTGAGCAGTCACCCCATGCCAGCAGGTTCCTGAGCCATCAGGGGGCCCAGAACAAGGTGATTTGGCATTTTTTATAAATAAATAGCTCACATGCCAAATAAATCTGCCATTCCTGAGGGTATTCCCTGCCTGGTGGGTTCCTCTCCAAGCAGATGAGCCGAGGGGGCTGGGAGAGGCTTTGGCCACAGCACCGACCCCCACAGGTTCCTCTGCCTTGGAGAAAGGCAGGAGAAGTCCCAAGTGTTAAGCAGGTGGAGGGCAGAGGGGAGTCCTTGAGCCAGGACCGTGTCCAGGGCTGGGTGGGACGCGTGGCTGGTGGGGGAGGCCGGTGGGACCCCCCAGTTCTGCCCCCTGAGCAGGTCAGGGTGCAGCCACCACAGAGGAACCAACCCAGAGCCGGCAGGTGAGGATGCACAAGTGCAGCTGCCTGTGGATGGGAGCACGGCCTGAAACCTGCTCCC